CTTCTTTATGCTATGGTTTCTTCATCTGTAAAATGGGTTATTAGTACCTACCTCAGAGGGCTACTATGAGGATTAAATGACACGATTCATAAACAGTTCTTAAAGTAGTACCAATAACATGGTAAATGTGCAGTGTCAGCAGCTATTTTTAATACCATTTTACAGATGAAGATACCCAATCTCCTTCACCAACTGTCCTACTCACCATCAACTCTAATTTTAACTTTCTCTATTCACCAAACCCAAGAGTGGAGATAAGGGAAAATGAGATTTCTTTCTTGAGCTGAATGAATTCTAGCTCCACAGCAGGGAGTGCCACAATTGTATCAGGATAACTACAACAACCTTTGTAGTTGCTGTGTGCTGTTGAGTCGATTCCAACTTATGGCAACCCTGTAGGACAGAGTTGAACTGCCACATAGGGTTTCCAAGGCTATAATCTTTACAGAAGCAGACTGCCACATCTTTCTCCCACAGAGTGGCTGGTGGGTTTGAACCACTTACCTTTCAGTTAGCAGCCGAGTGCTTAACCATTGTGCCACCAGGGCTCCTAGTAACTTTTTTTTTTCCTAGTCTTTCTTTCTTCACCATAGCCATTTCCTATTCAGGTAGGTAGACATATGTGCTGGTGAATCCCTGGTGAATGGGATTAAGGTAAGGTATGGTAACTGAGAAGGAGCCCTGGTTAGCGCTCGGCTGCTAACAAAAGGTCAGGGGTTCAAACCCATCAGCAACTCCATGAGAGAAAGATGTGACAGTCTGTTTCCGTAAAGATTTATAGCCTTGGAAACCCTATGGGGCAGTTCTACTCTGTCCCATATGAGTTGGAATTGACTGGACGGCAGTGGGTTTGGTTTGGTTTTTTTTTTCTTTTTTGGTAAGGTAACTGAAACCTTAGACAGTTTTGGAGATTTCATAGTTGTTGTTATTAGGTATTGTCAAGTCAGTTCCTACTTAGTGACCGTACGTACCATAGAACGAAACACTGCCCGGTCCTGCACCATCCTTATAATCGATGCTGTGTTTGAGCCTATTACTGCAGCCACTGTGTCAATCCATCTCATTGAAAATCTGCGTCTCTCAGAGTAGAGGGGCCATTTCTTGCAAGTCTTAATGAGAGGCATAGGCAAGGTGGCAGCTTCCCATGCTCAGGTTTGTGTAAGAACAGAAGAAATATCTGTGCCACGTGTTTAAGCAGAGAGCCCTGACATAAAGTTCCCCGTGCCATGTTATGGAAGGGTGCAACAGAATGAGCCCACACTCCTAGCTGGCCAAGAAAGCAGAACTGCTCACAGTTCAGAGCACCACTAGGATGTTTCCCAATGTGGCAGAGACTATGCTGTATGGGTATACAAATAAACTACATTTCCCAGCCTCTTTAGCAATTGTTCGGGGGCAACTGGATTGACTTTTAAAACCTATGTGAAACTCATAAGGATTCTTTTTCCTTGTCTGCTAGCTGAATACATATGAACCAGTGAAGGACACAATTCTAGAAAACACCAGAATTACCGAACAAGGAGTTATTAAACTTGGATCCATTAGTAGAATTTAAAAGAACCACAACATTTACTTTAGGACAAAAAAATCTGTATTGTCACTTATCTCTAAATTTAGCATGCCCTTCAGTTATGAATGTAAGCACCAAATCATGACAGTATTAACAATAAAAATCACAGGTATTTTCATATCATATTAATTATAGAAGAGCTCTCAAAATATCATTTGTGCTTATATTTATTTTGAAATAACAGTAGTTATTAGACCCACTGCTAGTTTTTCATGTCAATAAAGCACATATATTACTGTAACATATATCTATTTAAAAATGCCTTGATAACTGCATTTTAATGAAATCGGTTTCCTTTATAATCCCATGTATATGATTTTTATGCCTTTTAAAGACATTTTATTGAGAAGGGGTCCTTAGGCTTCACTGCCAATGGGGCTATGGAATAAAACAAATTAAGAACATCTACTCAAGACAGATCCTTGAATGACTTCATGAAGTAGGACCCCTCTTTTCCTGACCCCTCAACCTTCTCACCACACTGTAGATCCACACTGAACTGTTATGTGAGAAATAAGCTTTTATTGTCTTATTAGGAATTTTTTTTTTTTTTTTTTACACAACAGCTGTTATTAGTTTCTCCTGAGTTGATTCTGATTCATGGCGACCCCATGTGTGCAGAGTAAAATTGCTCCATAGGGTTTTCAAGGCTGTGACCTTTTAGAAGCAGATCACCAGGCCTGTTTTCTGAAGTGCCTCTGGGTGAGTTCAAACCACCAACCTTTCTATGCAAACTAATAAACCGTTGCTACAAAAATCCCAAACATGGCAGAGAGCACCTGGAACCTGAAGAGGCCTTCTGATTGGAAAGGACCCATGAGTGAATACTGAGGACCAAAGATCAGATAGGGCCAATGAAGAGTTCTCAGAAGCTATCAGCCTGGAAAGGGGGTTGTACTCACCTCCTTCAACTCAGAAATAAAGTTCAATTATAGTAGTATAAAGAAACATTTCAATCGGTTCTGAATTTGTAGACTGAGATTTATAACCACTACACAAAAATTAATTTTCTTATTATTTCTGTCTTCTATTAGGGTGGCAGTTATTGTTTCTCATAACAGATGCTAAGCACTTTTGAATTTCTCAAACTATACACACATACACATATTTTAAGATGAGTTTAAATGGCTTGTAATTAAATTAGCTCTATTGTAATTGATTTAAAATCCTTCTTAGCTGCACTTTAACACAAAAGAGAAGCAAATATAGTAAAACCTGTGAAAGCTGGAACCTATGTAAAAGCAGAAACCTGTCAGAGAAGGAAAACGCAAATATTTTCCATTAAACTGAGTGACAGAAAAGTGGAAAGATTGCCTCGTCAAAGGCGGAAAACTTGCGAGACCCAGAAAAACAAGGCCGTCCCGTGGAGTTCCGGCTCTCACAGGTTTCACTGTTTAACTACAAACATTACTATGTACAAATCTTTCTATATGGGGTAGTTTTTTTAAAAGGACTGTTGATTTAAATAAAATTATATTGATAGAGCCCTCCAGGGTTTTCAAGACAGGCGTAAATATGGCAACACTTCTCTCAAGGCACTGAGTTTTAATTTTATCTTCCCCCTTAGACCATTCTGCTGCTTTTATCTTAACCTTAGACTAAATAAATTAGTCATTATGAAACCTCTAGGCCATTAAAAGTTTGATGCAAAGACTTCTGAGGAAAGACTCTTTCTAACCCCCAAGAACTTACTGTAGCTGAATTTTTATAATCTATGGAACAAAAAGTGAATGTAAATAAAATGGGGTTAGTTTGCTACATAGTTTGGGTTTTAGCATTAAAATGTATAAAAAGAAATCCATTTATTCTTAAATGCTAATATAAACATCAGTCTGTCTTGATCACTGTTGTATACCCAGTTCCAAGCCTAGTCAGGCAAACAAATATTTTTTGACGAAAAAATCAATCAAATATTTTTCACTGCAATTATATGCAGTTCATGCCATTCATGACAACTTTTTCATAACACAGTTATTCCCTTTTTCACAAGTAAGATGACAAAATTTAGAAATCAAAGCTTCTAAACTGTCAGTTGGACCCTTGAAATTCTTAAGGTGATACAAAGTACCTTGACAGAAGTCAGAAATACTGCAGTATTGTATTAACTAAGCCTGTACCTAAAACTCTTATTTTGTCTATTCTCCCTCCTCCAATTTTTTTCTTTTTGCTGGGCTATTTTAAAGCAAATGCTAGGCATATTATTTCAGTATGTATACATAACAGATAAGGACCTTTTCTTTTTAAACCTAACACCAATACACTTAGCTCACCTAATCAAATTATTAGCAATTCCTTAATAGTATCAACTATACAGTCTGTGTTCAAATTTTGCCTAGTTATCTCAAAAATATCTTATATTTGGCTTGTTTGAATCAGGACCCAAATAAGGTCCACAACAGTTGCATCTGACCAATGTCTCTTAAGGTCATTTCAATAGACAAATTCCCTCTTTTTTAAAAAAAAAAATGTCATTTATTTGTTGAGAAAAAAAAACAAAACAAAACAGGTCATTTGTTCTGAGAAACTCCCTCATTCTGGACTTGGCTGACTGCATCATGGTGTGGTTTAACATGTCCCTCTACTTCCTACACACACGCACTCACCAAAAACCAGTTGCCATCAAGTCAACTGACTCATGGTGATCCCATGTGTGTCAGAGTAGAACTGTGCTCCATAGGGTTTTTAATGGCTGATTTTTCAGAAGGAGATCACCAGACCTTTCTTCTAAGGCACCTCTACGTGAACGTGAACCTCCAACGTTTCAATTAGCAGCCAAGCGTTAACTGTTTGCACCACCCAGAGTCACACTCTTGCGTGCTCTCTATGTATATACACACATATACATATGCGTGTGTGTGTATATATATGCAGACATGTATTTGTATATACGTAAATACATATAGTTTATTTTTTGGCAAGAATATTTCATAGGTGGTACTGTATACTTCTAATTGCATCAGGGAACACATATGTTTGTCTCACTTTTAGTGATATTAAGATTGATCATTGACTTCAAGTGTTGTCAGCCTGATCCACTATTACAAAGTTCTCCAACTTTCACTGAATAGTATTAGCCACTGATGACTGTTGCCTATTATTTCATCAAGAGTTGCGAAATGGTGATTCTCTATCATTCTTTGTACATTTATTAGCTAGAATTCTTCTAAAAAGAAGAAATTTCTTCAGCAATTATATGGATACCCTGAAATACAATTCATACAGGAAAGGCAGGAAAAATTTTTCTTTTATTTAATCTACTTTCAGCATATTAGTTACTTCCAATAGTGAGCAGTGGGTCTCACCCCACATTCCTCCACAGTCACCAGGTGGTATCACTGTGAAACCCAGCAGGTTTTGAATGGGATTGGGCAGGCCAGGGTATGGTGGGGAGGGGCGTCAGGGAAGGAAGAATACCTCAAGCAGGCTCTATCTAGGCGGTGGAATCCGAGTCTTCTGAGCTGTCCTGGACATCGGGGCTCTCCGTGCACTCGCTGAGTTCCTTGCTGTCACTCCCACTATCCTCAGCAACCGGGCTCTTCTCCACCTGACAGGCCTCTTTGGCACCGGGAAGTGTGCTGCCCTGGGTCTCCACTTCATTCTCGGTGCAGCCCAGCACCACATACTCGCATTTCTTAAGCGCCAGCTGCCGCTTCAGCTCATCTGCCATTTGAGAAAGATCTCGCTTCATAGCATAAGCGTCTTCGCCATCTGCATAGTATTTGGGTTCCACCTCACTAACCTGAAAGTTGAGGGTGTTAGAATAGAGGTGCAAGGCTGCCCGGTTACTCTTCCTGACATGTAGGGATACGTACTTGGCATTGAAGTTCTCTATCATGGCTCTGGAGGCTTGGTCCATCAGCTTCTGGGCCAAGCCGAGGCGCCGGTGTGAACGCTTCACGGCCAGAGAGGTAATATGTCCATGGGGGACATCATCTGGGTCCTCCTCCATTTTGGCCAGAACATAGCCCACTATCTTCCCATCTTCATCCTCAGCAATATAGGAGAGCTGGGGCCAGGAAAGGCCATGGTAGAAATAGTATTTCATCTGGTAGTTCTCAGGAAGGCAAAGGAGGTTGCAGTGTTGCATGTTCATGAGATCATCTGGCCGAGCATTACGGATGTTCATAATGGCGGCAGGTGAGCAGCTTGTTGGTCTGTGGTGAATCGATGAACCAGAAACAGGCTACAGCCAAGCGAAAGCGGCACGGTTTGCCTGAGGGATAAGTCCAGGCTGGCCGAAACTGTCAGGGGCTAAACCGCTCGCTGGAAGGATGGCGGAGAGGCGGGTTGGCGGGAAAGTGGGATGACTAGGAGGCGGAAAAGGCGGTGCTAAAATGCTGCTTCCGGAGCTGCGCTACAGCATCCCAGCCAATGAGATTTTGATTTTATTGTGCGTGTGCGCACGCACGCACGCGTGGGGGGAGGGGGTGGGGAAATGGCGTTAATTATGATATTATGGATTTGAATGCAGTAGTTGATCTAATGTTGTCAGTTTTGTTTCAATTTTAACTTTTAAATTTAAGTGCGTCTGGACAAATTTTTACAAACTGAGCAAGTCATGTAGGCAGAACTTAGGTCAAGAACGAGAACATTGCCAGCACCATAGAAGCCCCCTCGTGTCTCCTTCCCCCACCAAGAGTAACATCACCTAGACTTCTGATAGTTTTTATGTAAGTGGAACCATAGCGCATGCACTTTTTTTGTGTCAGCCTTCTTTCACTCAGTATTTGTGAGCTTTAGCTACTTTGTGTGTAGTTGTGGAATTTTTATACTTTTTCCTGTTTGGTATTCCATTACCTAAATGTATCACAGTTTATACGTTTCTTCTACTGTTGATGGCTATTTGTGTTTTTCCAGTTTGGAGTTAGTATGAATAGTGTAGCTGAACGTTCTGAAGCATATCTTTTGGTGACATACATACATACTTACCTAGCACTGGAATTACTGGGTGAAACGGTCTTTAAATGTTTGTCCTTAATATTTCCAAGCAATTGTCCAAAGTAGTTGCTCCACATTCTCATTAACATTTGGCATTTCCTCATCTTGTGTATATCCTGCCTGAATTTAGAGACCATCTCGAGAATAGATTTGATGCTTTGAACACTAATGACCTAAGTCCAGACGAGTTGTGAGATGACATCGAGGAAGCAGCTCTTACTGTATTTTGAGTGCCTTCTAACCTGGGGGGCTCATCTTCTTGCACTGTATCAGACAGTGTTCCGCTGCTACTTACAAGGTTTTTCACTGGCCAGTTTTTCCGAAGTAGATTACCAGGTCCTTCTCAGTCTGTGTTAGCCTGGAAGGTCCACTGGAAACTGTCCACCATGGGTGACCCTGCTGGCGTTTGAAATACTGGTGACATAGAGTCCAGCATCAAAGCAAAAAGCAAGCCACCACAATACAATAAAGTTACAGATAAGTGGTGGTGTTTATTGCTAGTACCTAAAAATACAATTGATTTTTGTACATTGACCTTGTAGCCCATGAATTTGCTAAATTCACTTAGTAGTTTTATTACTGGGTTTGTTTTATATATATAT